CTTTGCCAGTGGAATCATCTGCCTGCCATTCAAATCAACATCACGTAAAATCAGTATTCCATAGGACGAAAGATAATAATCTCACAGCAGTCAGGCTCTCCAGACCTCTCTTCCCAGTGCAGCTCCAGAGCCAGTCCCACCTCCAGTGGTTTAGATGAACAGAGACAGAGATGAGCAACTGATAAATGCTGTCAGGCATGGGGACAATGGGATAGTCGTTTTATCTTGCTTTTTCTTTACACTCTTGGGTCTCAACAGGCAGGAATTTTCCTGGCGTGGTTTAGATTTATACAGCTAATTGCTAAGTACCTGCATACACTTATTGTCACCTATTAGACAACTGGTAGAGGACAGGAGTTGGGACTATTCACTTCCTCAGAAATAGAGGTAACACAGCCGCATGCGTAGTTACGGAAATCAGTTCTAGGCACAGGCATCTAAGCTGAAAGGAAGTCTGTCAAGGGCCAGAACCCATCAGGCCCTCTCCCATACTCCACAGCTCTTCTCCTCCCCAGCCAGCATCCTTTTTTAATCACAGTTCAATGAGAGAAGTACTCTAGGCCTCCGCTTTTCACCTTCTCCACGCTGGAACTGTGCCAGGCGGAGGCAACCCGATCTACAATAAGCTTTTCTCTCCCTTGTTTGTTTGTTAGTTACTGAAGTGAATGGCCACCTGCCCTTTCCAAGTACGTTATCCTGTAGTAGTACTTGTGGTCATCCCGTTAGGTACCCTCCTCCACACACAGCAAGTAAGCATTAGCAGTCTCCCTCTATATTATTCAGGCATTTTTCTATATCCAATACAGAACAAAAATCTACTGGCAAAAGTAACTGGAAAAAAGTCCAAGGGTAGGCTTCTCTTCAGGTGCAGCTGCCCAGGAACTCAGAGAGCGCCATCAGGAGTTGGCTTCCTTCTCTCCATCTCTTACCTCTGCGTCCCTCTGTGTTGGCTCTTTTCTTAGGCACACTCTTGCACCCTGGGGTAGAGACCGTTGCCCACAGCACCAGCTTATTTCTTAGTATTCTTAGTCACTCCAGCAAAAGAGGGATTCTCATTCCATCATATCTAACAAAAAGTCCTAGAACTGTCTCGGGTTACTGGGGTTGAGTTATGTACTTACCCATAAACAATCACTGTGTCCAGAGGGTGTAGTGTTCTGATAGCCCAGTCTGGGTCACATGCCACCTCTGGAGTCCTGGGTAGACTCACCCCACCTGAACAATGGGGACTGAGTGGGGACATGGAGTGATTCCCCAAAACTCAAAATACCATAACCAAGAAAAGACGGGATAGATGCTAGGCAGGAAAAACGGCAGCCTTCCACGGTCCCAACTCTGAAGAAAAGGGGAGAAGGAAAGAGAATCAAGGATGAAAGAGAAAAGTTGAAGTGCTTTTGCACACTCACAAATAGAAGAAGGAATGCTAAACTCCTAAAAAATTACCAGACCCGAACACCAAACTGTCTTCTACTTCTAGGTCTGATTGTCATCTGATGCACAGACTTCAAGAATATGCCCCCAAATAAATCCAGTGTGTCATCCACGCAGATAGTCCGATATAAAAGAGGAGACAAGGGAGATGGGGACATTATGAGTCTTTGATGGTCTTTTGACTGCTTCCCAAATTCCTTTGAGTTTGGATGCACGCACATGTAACCTACAGCTGCCCACACAACTGTTTTTGTCTCTAAGAACATAAGCGATCCCACATCCAAGTCTTCCAGCAAGTCTCCAAGAGGTGGCCTCAATATGGATACACTAAGTGGCAACTTGACATCAAGAATATAACCAGGACTACACAAAAAAGAACAACTGTTTCGAGAGAGTGTACATCTTAGTGCATTTTGTATAAATTTTTTATGAACATAGTCCATAAATTTTAGAAAAGTGGTGATAACTTGCCTCATTTCCATCTGGAGGAAGCAGATTTTTAGAGAAGAAAAGGCCTCTGGACATATTTGAATATTTGGAAGACTGAGAAAAGCATGTAAGACATTACGGAATCAGGAATAAACAATAAAAAAGTTGGAGCAAAGAGAAAAACAGAAACAATTTAAAAATCCAGCCTTTGTCAATCACTTACCACATCCAGGCACTGTGCTAAGTGCTCTACATTCTAACTTAACCCTCCTAACTACTCAGTGAGGCAGCTAACCATTACTATTCCAATTTTACAGATGAGAAAATTGAGGCTTAATATAGGATAAAGGATAAGAATGTTCCCAATGTCATATTCCATTAGTGGAAACCTGGCACCACTTTTGCTAACTCCCCGGCTGCTTCATCCCGTGATGCTCATAGCAGGGTCTGTACTGATGGTCAGGATAGCTTAGCTCAGAGTTGGCTGAGTCCTGAACACAGACATCCCCAGAGGTAGAAGAAGGGATCGGGAGAGGCTCCAGCAGGAGGAGGTAAGATCATCAGAGGCAAACAAGTCCATCCTGTTTGGACAAAAATCCAAGATCCCAGCATGCAGAGAGGAGCACAGCCTGAGAGGGAGTCTTGTAAACAAAAGACCAAAGGCAAAGGCTCCGTTAGCATCAGGAATGTCTAGCCACAAATGAAGGTACACAGCCTTGGATGTTAAGGTTTCAGAGGTAGGACCTCATTCCTCGTAGGATTTTAACAGGGAGGGCAGAACCTCAGGCCTGATACTGATAGTATTAATGCTATCAGTATCTCGTAACTGAGTAGGGCTTTGTCAGTTACACAGGATTTTCCCTACATCTCTAATTTGATCTTCCAACAACCCTACGAGCTCGGCATTATAATCCCCACTTTTAAGTGAAGAAAATGAACATGGAAATTTCTCACTCAAAGCCAGTGGCAGAACTGGAACTAGAACCCAGGAGTTTGGGCTCCAAGCTCAAGTGGTTGTTTACCATCGAGCAGCTGAGCCCACCATCACAACAGAAACTCATTTACCGGAGCCAGTGTCTGAGCTGGGAGCTTGGTCACTAGGCAACAAGCAAGATGCCAGTTGCTGGGGAAGAAAGGTATGAGGCTGAAACTCAAATAAGCATTTTTTTCCCTCAGTCGGCAAGTATAGGTCCCACTCAGTTGAAAGAAGAGAGGACCCTTTTTTCCACACCAGGAATCTCCAAATAACATTCATTTAAGAAATACTGAATTGAGTTTCAACCATATGCCAGGCATTGGGAAGTCAAGGGTGAACTCAGCAATAGCCCTTACCATTACAGAGTTCACACTTTATTGGGGGACAAATAAGAAAACAGGTAATTACATATAGTGGTTAGTAACTCCATAGAGCCAGAACTTTTCTATGCAAGCATCAAGTCTGCATTCAACATTTTCCATGATCTTATATAAATTTAAACTAATCATAACTTAATTTTCTATCATTACTGATACTGCTCAATAAGTTCCCAAGAAGGGCATCTGATTCAGAAATAGGGGGTCAGGAAATGGTCTCTGGAACAGCTAAGTTTTGACACTTTAAAACAAGAACACTTTCTTGGCCTCTGAGCTTCTCTACCCAGTAGCCTGCAGTTTGTCACTGCCTTATTTAAAGGGTCACCTTCTCTCACTGCCCCCTTCTCCCTGCTTGCCCACATCCAGCTCTTCCTTCAAGATCCCCTTAACAACCCCCTCATCGGAACCCTCAGCTAGAGCAGTGTCCCATGGTCCTTACTCAGCCTTGAACACGTGTGCCCTGTCTTGTCTTTCATCTCGCTCTTTGTCTCCCTGGATAGCTGGTGAGATCCTCGGGGACAGACTCTGGGGCTCATACCTTTTCACAGGTGCTGGAGATCTGGGAGTTCGTTTAGCACTGTCTCCAACCAAGGAGTACGATGGCCCCTGGGCTAGATGCACATCAGGACTTTGGTCCGTCCAGACTGAGAACTACAGGGGAAAGATAAGAGGATTATTTTTCAAGGAGACATTTGGCTTCTAACAGCAATTCTGATTGCCTGTCCCTGACAAATGAAACATCCCCCTGAAGCACCCAGAACTAGCACCCAGAGAAGAACAAGTAGATTTAAATTTAAATATTTTGTCCTGTCTCGATTTTCCATGCTGTTATTTTTTCAAATGGTCATGATGGGGGTAATTAACAACTTAATTCATTTGTTCTTGTTGTTGATACTTCTTTTAACCTCAATTGAGTGTGTTCCATACTTAACAAATGCCTATAAAACTGCTAAAACTCCAATGGGCATTTTTCAGCTTCTGGTTTTACCATAACTGTGTTTCAGTAACCTCACTTAAATTAATCGACTAAGTAGAGAATTCCCCAATGGGATGTTAGGGACGGGTAAGTATGTTGTAAATAAAACAACTAAAGGGCTAGTTCACACCTCATCAAATTGCTTAACCACCTGATAACAGTTAACTACATACATTGCTCATAAAATGCATAAGGCAAGGAGGTAAATCAGAGTCCCGTTTTTCTGAAGTGGGACACACCTACCCTTTTGCCAAGGCCTGGTATTACTCTGCCCAGGGCTGGGATGAAGCCTGCAAAGTATCACCTCATTGGCCAGGAGAATATCCACACAGTGCCTCTCAATGAGGAGTGCAAATTCTAGTCCAGAAATCCCATTAGGCGAAGCAAGTTTCCCTTCATAATCGCAACCTTTGAGATAGAAGAGTAATATCAGATCTTGGATTCTTTTTACCCCAACTTCCCTCCAACAACGCTTTCACCCATATCACTGCATTTACTCTTGTGAGAAGAAAAGCACATATTACTTTACAGATGGAGAAACCAAGGCACAGATAAGTGAAGGCGGCCAGCCAGGGTCACCCTTGCAGAAGTCAGGCTGAAATGCAGCAGCGTGACCTGAGGTCAGTTAGGACTGCAGCCTGTGTAGTTTCCTGGAAGGGCCATGAAACTGGAATCCCCGATGACTCACTGGGGGCCACCTATTCATTTTACAGAATTGAAGATAAGGCCTGGGAAAGTAACACGACTTGTCTGAACCCCTGGCAAGTGACCCAGTCTTTGCAGTTCCTGGCCGGGTCCCTCCTCCATACCACAGTTCTCTCAGGCACAGAGGTACTGATGCAGAATTTGTTTTAAAGAGTGAAAGGTAGACCAGGTACGGTGGTAGAAATCTTGGTCTACTTCCCAGGGCACTGTCACTCTTTCAAGTGGGGAATTTGGATCACACACACCTGTCAGTGGAGGATGCAGATTGAAGGCCATGATGCAGAAATCCTGAGGGTGAGAGCTGTTCCCATGGGGCAGGGGCCTAAGTAACTCTAGGGGCAGGGGGGCTGTCAAGGAGAGAGGCAGGAAGGAGCCCAGCCTAAGGAGAGCGAAGCCCCTGCCTCCAGGGGACGGCGCCGCCCGCTGACTGCAGCCTTGAAGGAAGGCAAGACCCCAGTTTAAAGAAAAACAGGAAAGCTGAGTTTTTCTGTGAAAGCCCTTAATGTACAAATGCCAGCAACTAGTTGAAAAACTCTGTAAATACCACAAGTCTATACACATATATGAAGATAATTATTCATTCGTTCGTTCATTCATCCCGTGGACCTACAAGCTGCTACCTCTGTCGGAGGACTTCCCACAGTGACACATACTAATGTGGAGTGGTTCCCATAGGCCCCCAGCACTCAGTCTCGAAGTTTGCATTTGTTTGCGGGTTTGTTTACTTGCTCCTTCAAGGTCTTTGGTCAATTACCTTAAACTCCATATAGAAGATCCAGCTTTATTTCTTTTAAAGATGATTGTAACTTCAAATTCAACACGTATTGAGGACCTCAGTGTGACTGGTCTTTTTGTTCTTTTTTTTTTTTTTTGTCTAATTGAAGTACAGTCAGTTTACAATGTTGTATTGATTTCTGGTGTTCTTTCTTGTTTAGTTTCCATCACAGCCCTGCAAGGGGAGGAAAGGCAGTCACAATATCCCCGTTTCACACATGAGGTCATACACTTTACATATGAGGTCTCACTGAGGCTCAGAGGAAGTTCAGCCACTTGGATCGTATCCCCGCAAGGTGCCTTGTTCAGATCAAGCCCCTGAGCCCCCACTGCGTAGATGCATCCTGCGATCCCTCAGCACCGAAAACCCTGAGAGCAGCCCGCCCCTAACAGACAAACGGGAACTAGTTCCAGAACAGGGTGGCAGGTTTGGAAGCTCGAAGTCCACAGAAGCACAGAGAGGGCCTAGAATCCCATCTCTCCTGACATTTAAAAACGAGCTGGCATGGAGCAAATGGTAAATAACGTTTTATTTGGTTATGGTTCTTTAGTTTTAAATCACCTCAGCCTTTACTTTTAATTAATTTCTTTAAATTAGATGACTCATACTTGTAAATATTTGCTTTTCTACGATCAGCTTTTGTTTAAATTATTAAAGCTTCAGCTTCGTGACTGATTTTAAGAATGGAGGTTGCCACTGTGCTGGTAACAGCACGCATGTGGTAAAATGGGGTGGTTTCATACTGACACATGTGCCAGCCCCAAATACGGCCAAGAGCAAGGCAGCAGAGAAGGTGAATTTATGGTTTTCTTCGGATTGTTCAAGGAATAAATCATTAACTCAGGGAGTTAGAGAACAAATGTAAGATGAAATAATATGTGAAGGAGCTCACTCACAACAAAAGCTTGTCTCGCTCTCTTTTTTTAAAAGCACCCATCAATGGCTCTGGATCCACATATTATTTTGCTAAAGGGAGTAGAGGTGGAGGTCTGAGAGGGGGGTTGTGAAAAGGCTGAGGACAGTAACTGTACAAGAACTTTGGAGACCAAAAAAAAAGTGATGATGATAGTGGAGTAATTTCACAGCCCCAGTCAGTATGGGCTATTATAAGCCTTGATTTGCTGGCTGCTCCATGTCCCCAGCATCAAAGGCAAGGAAGGAACCCGAAAAAACTGGGCTGACAGTCAGGCTGTGTTACAGCAGAAAGAGAAATGAAAAAGGATGCTCTAATTTCAGTGAAAGGGGGATTTGAAAGTAAAAGGTCTGTAATGACATTAATAACCAGTCTTTACCAGCTGCGAAACGATCAGCCAGAGGATGAACAGACCAGGGCAGGACGGGGTGGGGGGCTCAGAGCTAGTCATCGGCACCTAACACTCTCTTAATAAGTTTTGTTATTTTTCAAAAACCATTTTGACAATACAGAGTTCAGTAACCTTTGTGCTGTAAATCCATTTCATCTGCAAAGATGAAAGCTGAGTAGAACGGGGTATTACACAGATTCTGTCACGCTGCTGCTGTCTCCCAAGCGCTCTGCCAAATAAGGAGCTGGATTCCGGGTGAGAGGGCTGAGTGGAGCCAACAGCTGAGCCTCGCGTGCGCCCAGCAGGCCCAGCCTGGGCTTCGGAACCTGCTTAGCACAGACAGGAGGTGAAGGCCCAGGACTGCCCTCCACGCTTCGGTGGAAAGAATCAGGAGGTGCCTCAATCTCACATCAGAATGGATCCAGAGAGGCCAAAAATGCTTCCATATATTCTCTGGTGGGAACTGGAGAAGGAACCGGCTCACTCCTTGGAGCCGGCTGGGCAGCAGGGAGACTGTGAGAATATAAATCTCCAAAATACACCCGAGCAGGACTGTAGCTGCATCAGTTAACAAACACCAAACTCACCGCAAGTGGAGCTCTGGGGCCAGGCTGTACCTCCTTCGATGTGTCTGCTCCAGTGGAGGCTGGGACCGAGAAGCTCATGTCACCGATGAGACAAGGATGAGCAAAGTCCTTTTCACAGGAAACCAGCCTGGAGATGAAATCAAGTCAGTATTTGGAGGTGCTGAGGTCAAATCCTTCCTACCCAAAAGTGAACCCGCATGCCTCAGTTACACTCCAGGCCCTGGTCCACTTGTCCTTTAACTGCCTTAAAGATTAGACATTAGAACTAACATGCTCATTTCTTAAGGCAGAAATTTATGTTTCTGCCAGAGGTTTATGAAATATGATCTATAAACCTCATTTAGTCTTACAAATTGGGGAGAAAAGATCACCTGATTTTTTTTTTCAAAAAAGATTTTTGGCAGATCTCATATTCAGGCACAAGCGAAAAGAAAAAAAAAAGAAAAAAAAAACAAACCTCTTACCAGTTTAAATGGTTAGGATTTAAATTTAAGATGATCACATCCCCAAAGATGTAAATGCTGACACAGTCCCCAAAAGAACAGTGAACTCGCCCGTCTTTACAAACTGTGCCATGTTTTCATTCAAGGGGAAGTGGCAACGTGCTCGAATTGTTTCAAAGTTGGTGGCAACTGGCTTGAAGGTGACAAAATTCAATGTCCTTCAGATGCACATGCGCCTGTTTCTATGCTGTGGACTGCCCACAGCTTTACCTGCCTGCCGCTAGCCCTAAAATACTGTTTTTAGTCCAGTTGAAAAGGGATTTGAGCCTAGAGTAAGCCCAGAGAATGAGGACAGACAGCCAAGAATACTGAAGACAGTGTTTTCTAGAACCCTGGGGTGGCTGGAGTGGGGACGCCAGAGAGGAGTCTGGATTTCTGGCACAGCCAACTGTATAGGTTATGTCATTCTCCCAAAGGACCACTGGAGGAACAGCAGACTTGGGCAGAGGACATTACTTAATTTTGTACCTGTAGGTTTGAGGTGCCTGTGCAACCATCCCACAGGTAATTCACCTCAGTCCCCTGCCCCAGATCCCCCAGAACAAGTCACTCTGCTTAATCTGTCTCAGACTGAACTGCTCCTCACTCATCCACTGTTCAGGAGCCAGCGTCAGAAGAATGCCTCTGATTCCTTTCCCCTGCAGCCACTAGGCACCTTGTGAGCAGGTGAGAAGCAAGAGGGGTCAGAGGGTGTACGGTCTAGCTCAGTGGTCAAGCATGTGGCCTCTGGGTCAGTCCACCTGGGCTTGAATCTACTGCTACTTCCTGTGTGACCTTGGTCAAATTACTTAACCTCTCTGTTCTTCAGTTTCTTACCTGCAAATGAAGGATAACACTAGTACCTACCTTGTGGTGCTGTAATGAGAAATAAACATGTTGAAATGGAGAAAATGCTTTGGGTGGCACCTGGCCTGCTGTGAGCTCTCAGGAAGGAGCCATCGTGCTTGGCAGGCTTCAACCTCTGCCATTCTAAATCAAGCTTTCAAAGTTTGTTCCAGACTTCATCAAGGAGAGTAGTAGAATTCTTCCCAGCACTTCTATTTCTGCTTCTGAGTCTCAGAGTCCGAGAACTGCAGTGGCAGGAGTCTCAGTGAAATCGTGGCATGGAGGCTCCTCCCGATATACACACATGAAGGTGGAAGTATTTAAGACTCCCTCATGGAGGTCCTTGCCCCTAGTGAAGAGGAAGTCTGATGATCTAAGACCGTAGGTAGTTTACATCAAAATCTTCCTATTGCCCAGGCTTCAGAGATTAACAGCAGAGGCACTGTGGCGGGTAAAGACGTGGCAGCAATATGAATAACTGAATATCTTTGGCTATTTCAAAAACTGTATGTATTACTGTGAATATAACATAAATTGATCAGGGAAACGCAGCTCTCATGAACAGCATGTTTTCCCTAGAATGTCCTGTATCCAAGCAGTAACCTTGGGCAAGAAACTGCGTAGTGTTTCTCCTAAGGGGCAAGTGAAATTGTTTAGAATTCAGGACCCTACCCTCTCGAACCTGTAGGCCCTCCAAGTCTGACCTTGAAACTGAACTGCTGTCTCTTGCACGACAACTGGACGAAGTCCTCAGTGTTTACACGTTGAAACTGCAGGACCACTGTTACAACAGATAGAGAGGGAGAGATGGTTTTAGTGGTCTAACAAATTATGATGATTTGTTTCTTTTGGTTGCCATTCTCTTTAAATAAACCTCTTCCATGGTTAAGAGGACCCTGGGGTAATTATATGCAGGTATCACTCAAATGGATTTCATGACTTTTTTGCAGCCACTCACAACAGTTGTGGCTTTCCACAAGATTCCTTCTCCACGCATGCCCTCGTGCTGCCCTTTCTAATTGTGCTCAGCACCCATTTTAGAAACCTCATCCCCCCTCACAAAGGAAATTATTTTCGCAGGACCATTTTTAGAGACGATCTCCCTCCATCTGATAGGATGAAACGTTCTTAAGGGCCGTTTTCCAGATAACATCTGCTGAAGGGTTATATAGGATCCCATCCTCAGTGCGCATGCAGTTTGTAAATAACTAAATTCTTGGGTTTGTGGTCACTGTTGGAAAACATGTAAGAAGGAATTAAATGTGGGTGATCAAAATGATGCCTGTCTTAAACTGTTTTAGAAATGCCTTCTGAGCACTCTGTCATTATCATTCCTCTTTCATTTTCTTTGCAAACATTTCCTTGGTGTTAACTAGGGCCAAAAGCATCTGCTGAAAAATCTGCTCCCACTCCAGTTCTTTGCAGAGAGCAAGAGCCCTCTCCTCATAACGCAATGGGAAATGTGAGTGATGCAAGCAGAATTTTTGCCCGAAATTGTTTCTATCACATAGGCCGTCAGATGATCATTATATTTTATGATTCTGTAAAATCTGCAGATATCAAAGCTATGTCATATACACTGCAGAGGGCTCTGCTAATCCTGGCCAACCACATTCATGCTTGGACGAAGGGTGAAGGCCTGGTGACTGGAAACCTGACGCTGAAGGAATTCCAAACACTGGCTAAAAGCATCTCTGTCCACATAACATGGGCAGCTCACGCGCCTGTGAGCATATTCGTTTGTGCTGATCTTTTTTTAGCTTTGCCATATTTGTAGAAGAAGCAGGGAAGCAAGCTCCGACATCGGCTCCGCCGGTAAATAATCCCTGCGTGGCGTGCGTGAGAGGAGCATGGCTGTGCCAGATGTCGACTTTCTGCCAAGGGGTACAAAATACCTCTCTCAGCACCAGCAGTTTTACATCATTTACTTCCTCCCATCTGAACCCAAATCTGGTCACAGTCAACTGTTACCAAAAAAGGGAACCCATAAAGGCTACCTTGGAAGTCAAAAAATTGTGTTTTGGCTGCTAATAGCACGTGTAGTATCTTATAGTAATTAAGAGGAGTAAGATGCTGCCCTTTGGAGGCTTTTCCTTAAGTTAAGAAATCCAGTGCTCATGCCTAAGGTGACATGCTCGTCTTTGCTCATAAATTCTTCACGCCTCTCATGCTTGTTACTACAGAGCGCGTTTTATGACTGCTGAGCTCGCCCCCTCAGAACCAGCGCTCTTCTGGTCACTGGTATGTCTCAGCCGTAGTTGTTTCCCCTGTTATTCTTCAGCTCCACCTGTCCTCCCTCCTGCTAAAGGAGCTCACTGGGTGAGAGACAGAGGTGCTTCTGACACTCACCTTGAGATACATTGGTGAATCACGATCACCGCTCTCTTGTAAGGGTTTGTCACTGATATCTGAAGAACTGAAGGTTGCAAATACTTTTCTCTTAATAAATTATAGCACATTCAGAATTTCTCCCTTAATAATGTGGCCCCCACTCCCATCAGTCCCCTTGTTCTCTCTTGGATGGGAGGGAAGGGCACTGAGTTATAGCAGACGGTAGAGAAGTTGGCAGAATCCTAGCTTCTGCCTCTCCTGGGCATGTGTGGCTTGTATGAAAGCCACCCATTGTGTATGTTCCGGTGGAGAGAAGGCTGGCAGGGGCTGTGACAGAGGGGGACTGAACCGCACCTTTACCTCTGGTTCATGTTCATCAGTCCTCAAGCCCAAGTACTAGAAACCGGTGATCACACCAGGTTTTCACCTTTGACACTGTCTCCCTAAGGCTCCGAGACCTGGTGTACTGTATTTTTAAATGCATACATTAAGATATTCCTAGATTATTGTGTTTCTGACAGAAACAAAGTTCTTTGCTGGACCATAATAAAACCAGTCCTTAACTGATTCTTGAATAAACACACTTAACCTGCACCAGTTAATCAGTCACATAAGTCAAGGCTAATCAGTCACGTAAGTCAAGGCAATTAAATTTGAGTCCAAGATTCATTAAGCACCTACTATGATTCAAGT